GTGGATTTATTTTCATTATGGCATGCTAGGTTAGGACATATTGGTAAAGTACCATGAAACGAATGAAAAAGTGTGACTTAATTTCATATGATGAAAATAATGAATATAGATGCAAAACTTGTGTAGAATCTAAGATGATTAAAAAACCATATCAAAGTGTAAAAAGAACCTCTAGTATTTTGGAATTAATTCATACGGATATATGTGAATTAAACGGCATGTTAACTAGAGGTGGAAATAGGTATTTTATTACCTTTATCGATGACTTTTCTAGATATACATATGTGTATTTAATGAAACATAAACATGAAGCATTTAACATGTTTAAGATTTATAAGAACGAAATTGAAAATCATCTAGGAAAGAAAATAAAAACCTTAAGGAGTGATAGAGGTGGTGAATATTTTTCTAGTGATTTTAATTTATTTTGTGAACAACATGGCATAATTCATCAATGTTCTGCACCAAGGACTCCCGAACAAAATGGTTTGGCTGAAAGAAAGAATAGAACATTAGTAGAAATGATTAATGCTATGCTTATATTTGCTAAGTTACCTTTTAACTTATGGGGTGAAGCTTTATTAAGTGCATGTAGGATACTTAATAGGATTCCTTCAAAACATACTAAGGTTTCTCCTTATCAATTATGGAAAGGAAGAAAACCAAACATTGGATACTTCAAAGTGTGGGGGTGTCTTGCCTATTGCAAGAACACGAACCCTAATAGAAACAAATTAGGTCCAAGAGGCATTAAATGTGCTTTTGTTGGATATGCTAACAATAGCAAATCTTATAGATTGTTAAATTTGGAGACCAATGTGATTATTGAATCAAGTGATGTAGAGTTCTTTGAAGATTCGTTAACCTCGAATAACGAATTGAGGGAAAACCTTGTAAATATCCCAAGATCAAGTGGAACACGGGATGAAATATCTTCTAAAGATATTAATGAATCTAATGAACCATGAAGAAGCAAAAGAACTCGAGTTAAGAAGTCTTTAGGACCGGATGAAATTGATTCTCAACTTATCTCATTTTACTTAGTAGAAGGAAGTGAGTTGAATGTTGTAAGAACAATTCATTTTGTTCTACAAGTGGAAACCGATCCCAAAACTTATAAAGAAGCTATGGCTTCTCGAGATAGCATGTTTTGGAAAGATGCAATCAAGGATGAAATGGATTCAATAATGTCAAATAAAACTTGGGAACTTGTCGATCTACCACCCGGATCCAAACCTATTGGTTGTAAATGGGTATTTAGGAGAAAATATAATGTTGATGGTTCTTTAAATACTTTCAAAGCTAGACTTGTAGCCAAAGGTTATCGACAAAAGGAAAGAATTGACTATTTTGACACTTATACACCAGTAGCAAGAATAACTTCAATTAGGATATTGTTTGCATTAGCCTCAATATATGACTTGCATGTTCATCAAATGGATGTCAAAACGGCATTTCTAAATGGGGATCTTGGTGAGGAGGTCTATATGGAACAACCAGAAGGTTTTGTTTTACCAAGAAATGAACATAAAGTATGCAAGTTAATTAAATCGTTATATGGGCTAAAGCAAGCACCTAAGAAGTGGCATGAGAAATTTGACTTAGCAATTATATCATATGGATTTAAACATAATAGTGTAGATAGATGTTTGTATTCTAAAGTGCATGATGATTACATGATATTTATATGCTTATATATTGATGACATGTTGATTATAAGTAATCACATGGATGGGATAAAAGAAACGAAGAGGTTTCTATCTTCCACATTTAAGATGAAGGATCTTGGACAAGTCGATACTATTTTGGGTATCAAAGTCTCAAAGACTAGTGAGGGTTATTACCTTAATCAATCACATTATATTGAGAATGTGATAAATAAGTTCAAACATTTGAACATAAAAGAGTATAATACCCCTATTGATCCAAGCTCAAAACTTGTAAAAAATGATGGAAGAGAAATTGCTCAATTAGAGTATGCAAGTGCTATTGGAAGTCTTATGTATGCAGTTCAATGCACAAGACAAGATATAGCCTATGGAATAAGTAAACTTAGTAGGTTTACTAGCAATCCAAGTAATGAACATTGGAAAGCAATTGGGAGAGTTCTCGGATACTTAAAGAAAACCAAGAACTTAGGTCTACAATATACTAAATTTCCAGCAATATTAGAAGGATTTACTGATGCTAGTTGGATATCTAGCACGAATGAAAGTAAATCAACTACGGGTTGGGTGTTTACTCTAGGAGGAGGTGCAGTTTCTTGGAAGTCGAAGAAACAAACATGCATAACACATTCAACTATGGAATCTGAATTTGTAGCCCTATTAGATATAGGAAAGGAGGCTGAATGGCTTAAATACTTATTCTATGAGATACCTTTGGGATCAAAGAATATTTCTTCAATACCAATAATGTGTGATAGTCAAGCCACTTTAGCTAAAGCATACAATGATGTATATAACGGGAAGTCTAGACATATGAGTCTTAGACACAACTACATAAGGAAGTTAATCAAGGATGGAATAATTTCCCTAAATTATGTAAGGTCGAATGAAAATTTGGCTGATCCTCTAACTAAACCTCTAAATAGAGATTTAGTGGCATCTACTTCAAGTAGGATGGGATTGAAACTCCTTAACTGAAATATCCACCAATGATGGCAACCCTACCTGTCCGTTACTCAAAAGGTTTTACACGGGTTCAAAGGGTATCAACAAGTCATTTGATATGTAGATAGTTACAGCATTATTATAATCCGCAATAATCCTATCCTAGATTAATATAATACTGGTTGTTACTGAAACGAGGGTTGAGCTATAAGCTCTTAATAAAGTTCAGTGTAAAACCACAAGTACTTCTAAAAGTAACAAAGGTACTGGAAGAACTTTACCTAAATAAACTTGAAGGTGGTGCCGTCTTAATAGAGAGTTGGAGTTCTCTCTTAAAAGTTTATTGAAAAGGATAAGCGCAAGGCCATAAAAGCGCTAAGCGAGAAACGAGGAACTTGAGAACACGTGATATTCGTGTGTGTGTTCTTACCGGTATTGTCACATGAAATACTTGGTTCAAAGCTTCACGCTACCTTGAATTTCGACTTTACTTTGTTTGAATTACACTATGGTTAGATTCAAATCGAAAGATATCTAATCCTTACGCATGAGTATCGTATAATTTGAATAATGAGAACTTGTTAATTTTGAACAAGTGGGGGATTGTTATGAAGTGGTATGATTTTTCAAAACCAACAATTAAAAAAAAAAAAAATTTTGGGCCATGCGACCACATGGAACCCTACCGAGACCAAACGGTCTCGGTAGGGTTGTACCATGCGACCGCATGGGTTTGTACCATGCGGTCGCATGGTACATAAAAACGACCGTTGGGTCGTTTTTTGTTAGTTTTTTGGTGGCTTTTCATCCATAAGGTGCACCACTTCGTAAAGCTATCCTACTTGGCTATAAATATGTGATCTTGGGTCATTGAAAAATGTTGAAAAAACACCTATTATATTTATACTTCTTGAGATCAAATCCAAAAAGAAAATACCCTCTCATATTCATCTTTTTCTTTGTGTTCTTAAGTTTTAGAGATTCAAACAAGTGTTTAGTGTTTGAATCTCTATAAGGCTTGATTAATCCTTCAAACTTTTTGCCGGATCACCCTTTAAACACCAAAATAGTGGGGGCAAATTTCGTTTGAGGACAACAATCAAAGATTGTGTTTGAGCCTTCAATTTCTTCATATATATATTTGTCATTCCTTCATCTCCTATAATTCTTTCGATTTTTTATTTTGTTTGTAATTCGTTCTCATCTTGGGTGGAGTAACATTATTTCCAACAAACAGCAGCTCCAAAGCACCCTAAACATCAACGAACAGAGTAGCAATTTAGACCATCCTCAAAGCATCAATTTAACTCACAATACAGCCCGAGTTGGCTTCAGCTGTAGCCTGATAAACAAGGAATAATATGTATCAATTTACATCAGAATATGAGTTTTATCGAACAATAAAGAGGATTAAAGAATAGATAATATGTATCTTACCACTAGATAAAAAAAAAACGTTTTGCTCAGTGTGATACTATTATCCAAAATACAAATTTTATAGAGATTTGTTTCATTTTTTTTGTACCATACGATGCAGAGCAAAAAATAAAAGAAAACTGTACCTCGAGCATCATTCTAGATTTTCTCGTGTTCAGTTGATAGCAGTCGTTAACTCTTAATCTAATGAAGTCGTTTCCCATGTTCAGTTGCTCTTCTTTTATTTCCTTTGCTGAAGTAACGACGGTAGGGCTACAGTGAAGCAATTCTATAGAATCAAGAGTTAGAATTTCTCCAATACCAAAAGGGATCATCTCCAGACTTGAGCACCACCGAATGACTAATTGCCGAAGTTTTGGGAAGTGAATATTTTCAGCTCTCCAATGCTTCAGATCAAGTCCGTCAAGTAGTATATATTTCAGTTGATCAAATTCCCCTTCAATTGGTTCCCACTCTGGGCCTTTGAAGGCATCCGGTTTCAATTTCAGCACTTGAAGATTTGACAATGAACCAATAATTGTCATATCTTCCCAAGGAAGACAGCAGCCCTCTAAAGTTAACTTTCTCAGTGATGTCGGAAAAGTAATGTTCCGCAGGAAAGAGGGGGATGGCATTGAAAACTCAATTTTTAATAATTCAAGCTTATGTAGACGGGCAAGATTATGGAGACGGTAATATCCCCAATCCAATGGTGCCTCCGGTGGACTAGAATAACTGACTCCTAATTTCTTCAGATTTGGAATTCTCTTTAAGTTTTCTAAGACGGATAGTGTTTGTAGGTTTTCTAGAACAATAACAGGAATTTCTCCCTTAACTCTTGCCTTGGGAGGACAAGGAAGAGTGATAGACCAGCTAAACTGGACATGCCTTAATTGTTGCATCTTCCATATTTGTTGTGGTAGTTCAAATTGTTAAACGATCCAAAGAAAATAAAGAAGAAAAAGGAGGAGGCTAGGGTTTCATTGATATTACATTAATTAAATTGAATGCTAAAAGATAGTTTAACCTAAATATAAAGAGAATATATATAGGCTAAACAAAGGAAACTAAAAAGAACTATTCTACCCTTAATAAATAATAAATAATTCTATATTTCTTAACACAAATGACTTCCCATAAGAATGAAGAGTGATGGTTTGTAGATTCCGAAGTTTGTCTATTGATGCAAGATACCATCCCTCATCACATCTGGCATCAATGCACCGCAAGTTCACTAGTTCCATTATTTCTTTTGGCAAATCGAACATATTATAGTGGATATACAATACTTTGAGTAGCCGAAAGTAAACAAATTTTGTGACAAGATGCCGATCAAAATATATAATCGACCGTGGTAATGGAGTAGATGGTCTTTTAACACGGGGAAGGAAGCTTTTGTCTGGATGGATTCTTACCCGGTGACCACTTCCATCGCTTTTTCCTTGAATAATTGTACGGCGTAAACATCTAACGTCTAACGGAGTTCCATGGCTGCTGACATGAAAAAAGTTTCCTCTTCTAGCTTCATTTGTGCATAAGTTCCTTAAAAGAGCATGAAGCTTGCATGCTTTTATTTTACCTCTGGAGCTCTCCTCAGAAACCATAACAAGACTTCTTTGTACAAGATCCAATAAGTATTCTTCTGCCGCATCTTCAATAGTTTTAGATCCCATGAACTTCACAAATCCCTCGGCAATCCATAACTTGAAAAGTAAGGAGACAGGGATGTCAGAATCTTCTGGGAAAATTCCCATGTAGAGATAACAACCTTTCAAATGATGAGGCAAATTGTTATAACTTAAGTCCAATATTTTTGAGCACTGCTCATCATTTGAAGTTATTACGAAACTCATGTTTTCAGCAATCTTTTCCCATTCATGATGTGTTTTGGTGGCCTTTGAAAGAAGCCTCGCAATCACAACAATTGAGAGTGGAATTCCTCGACAATTTCTGCAAATTTTCTTCCCAACAATTTCTAATTCAGGGGGGAAACTATTTTCTCCAAACACTTTCTCACAAAATAAACTGCAACTTTCATCCTCGTTTAGAAAATGCACACGATGAAGATAAGATCTGGGACAATGAAGTCCAACTTGTTCAAGCCTAGTAGTCAGCATGATTCGGCTTCTATTCTCGTCATTCGGAAATGATCGTCGTAATTCATCCAAAATCTCGTCATCCCACACGTCATCCATCACAATTAGATATTTTCTTCCCTTCAGACACTTGTATAGAAGTTCTTTTAATCCCTCAGTGTTCTCTTCATGCCTCCCGTGAGTTTCTTTTTTATGCATCTTATCAGCGTTTTTTGGTATGGAATCGAAAAGGCTTAGTATGATTTCTCGCACTCTATATTATTGAGACACTGTCACCCATGCACGAATATGAAAATGATATTGGATAAGTGCATCATCATAAACTTTGTTCGCGAGAGTAGTTGTTACGCCTCGATACCAAAGTGCCATCTCACCACCTACTCCGACCTGAAAACGACCCTCCCGAAGCTTCTCCGAAGTGATATATCGATTCCTACTACTGATCTGCCGAAGCATCTCACCTCCGAGGTCGAGATCAAGTGGACCCCGGTTAGAAGATTCGCCGCCAATTTAAGATTTGTTCTGCACCTAAGGTTTAAATTGATTTGACGTCCCCATGAGGCTACTTGATGTGACTTATCAACTTTATGTCAATTCAACTCGGGGGAAACAAACTGTCCGCCCACTCTACAAGCGCGGCTAATTGACGCCTATGAGCAGACACTTCATACCGTCAGATGTATACACGCGTTCCACATCCCGCGGTTCATACCACCTATAGATACCCAAGGTTTGGCAAGAGGCAAAGGTAATGAAACTCTCGATACATAGCATTCCATAACAAGTTTATATATCCTCCTCCCCCCTTTTTGATTGATCTGTGTAGCCCTTGGGCACTGTTCCGACCACCCAAACTTGACTTGACCATCGGAGTGTATACGGCTGCCACCATCCCCGTCGGTTCCGGCCGTGTGCACCTGACCGTTTGTTCATTACGCAGGGAGGAATACGTGGAGTAGCTACAAGTTGGCCACGTGGAGGAGCCATTTTTGGAGGTCAATAGTTTGGCGTCGTCTGTGGGAAGCTCACTCTCCATTTGAAGTTTTGCGTTCCCCATCGGAGAAGACACCGAAAAATCGGCGACTGACCCTGAAAAGGGGGCTTCTTGAAAAATCCCATGAGAGAGGCCTCTGAAGAAGAGATACTCCATAACAATGTTACTCATCAGAGACCGCATCACCGACGTCGACGAGGTGAAAGAACAGCCATACTCACTGAAGGAATGACCCAGATAGCTGCGGGTATGAGAGACATAGTAGCTCAGAATATGGCGATGCGGGAACTTCTCATGCAAGCCCAGAGACACCAGAGGCCCCAAGGATCTTATCCGGTACAGGAAATCACTTTGTCTCAATCTTGAGGCCACATGAGCCGGCACACAGAACGTCCTCTCGAAAGAGAGGGGAGCACCGAAGCGACATCTTTCGTGCAGGAGAGTCATCCATCAGAACCACTCTTGGGGGACAATTTTCCTCAAGAACACGATGACCAGAGGTCAGTGAGCGTCTTCGACTGGATAGGGAACGATCCTAGCACTAGGGTCCGCCCCGCAAGAGGGTCGGTTCGGTCAGACCGCGAAGAAGACCATGTTCCTCATCCTCCTAGAAATAGGAGGGAGAGGAGAAACTTAGTCGATTGGGAGAGCCGGGGAGAAGCTCCTCCTCCACCCCAAGACATCCAAGATGATGAAGGATCAGAGGGGCCTCGTCGATCTTATGAGATTGATGACGATGACGATAACCTCCCTTTCTCAAGGGAAATTCGAAGCTTCCCAATGCCAACTAACTTCATGCCCCCTAAGATCCCCAAGTATGAGGGAAAAGGGGATCCGGAGAAGCACCTCACAAAGTATATGACACAAATGAGTCTTAGGGGAGCCTCACCTGCTCTAAAGTGTAGAGCTTTCCATTTAACACTAGGCGGAGCTGCCGAGGTGTGGTACAGCAGGCTTCCTCCCCTAAGCATCAGAAGTTGGCCAGACTTGAAGAAAGCATTTTTGAACCAGTACCTCTCACGCAGGGAAGGAGAGGCGCCAATTCAACGCCTGCAAGACATGAGGCAGGCCCCTGGAGAGACGCTGAAAAGCTATCTCGCCAGGTTTACAGATGAAATTACTTACTGGGAGCAGGTCACTGACAGGGAAGCTCTTTCAGCCCTGAAAGGTGGTCTCAACATGAACACTTTGTTTTGGAGGGACGTGCGCAGCAAAAATCCCTCCACGTACGACGAGCTGGTGGAGATGATGAGAGTGGAAATTGTTAGTGAAAAAATGATTGATCATCGCAATCGTGCCTTGCAGAGACTCCCTCCCCCACAGAGACAGGTAGGTCGAGGCCCCGCAGTGCACCTTGTACTCAGCAATGGACCCAAGCAGGGCATACCATAGCTCCCACATCCGGACAGTCCCTAGCTTTCGCCACATTGAACGCAGTGCCGGTGTTGGCATATGATAACGCACCCGCTGAGGCAGGACCATCTGGAAGAATTGACAACAACAACAAGAAGAAAAAGAGGCTGAACAAGCCCTTGGCAGGAGCAAGATTCTGTACTTTCCATCAACTATACAGACATGACACCAGCGAGTGTCGTGATGCCAATCGGCGCCCTGATCGAAGCAACCCCCACACTTCCAGTAAAAACAAGCACGCTCGCAGATCCACCTCCCCAACGAGGGGAGGAAGAGGTCACCAGGAACAATCTCCTCGCAGAAGAGAATCGAGAAATTGAGGCCAATCCATGCAAGGGAACCAAGCCCAATTCGCTGGAGGTCAGGTCATCAGGGAAATCGATACCATCATTGGGGGACCCCACGTCGGTGGCAACACCAGGAATGCCCAGAGAAATTATACAAGAGAAGTTAAGGATCCTCCGATGATCACCTACATTGTCGACGAATCGAAATCAGCAGACAAGATGGCCCCAATCACCTTCTCCCAGGAAGATTCAGAGGGAGTTCACCATCCCCATTGCGACGCTTTGGTTGTAAGAGCCGTGGTGGCTAGAAACGGATTAAAACGCATGCTCGTTGACAATGACAGTTCCGTGAACATATTGTTCGGCTCCACTTTTGACAAAATGCAGATTGAACATGGGTTAATCCCCATGACCGACCCACTGATCGGATTCACTGGGGACAACATCATCCCACGAGGGCGGATCACCCTGCATGTGGAAATGGGTTCGGCCCCCCTGGTCGCCCAGCATTTCATGGAATTTCTGGTGGTAGATCATAGGTCGGCTTATCATGGAGTATTGGGCAGATCCGCTCTAAAAGATCTTTGGGCTGTGACGTCCATTCACTATCTGTGCATGAAATTCCCAACTGAACATGGGATTGCAACAGTCCGGGACGATCAGATAGGCTCCAGGGCATGCTACCTAAACTCGCTGCGTAAATCTGAGCCCCGAACTGTCAATGTAATCCTAGTCGAAGTACCCGATGAAGCCGATACGGACGTGGAAATGCTCGACGCCCCTGAACAAGGGCATACCTCTGAACAAGAGGAAGATGTCGTCATGGAAGAGGCCCCTGAACAAGGACACCCTCTTGATGAGTTAGACCCCCGAATAATCAATTATGAACCAAATGCGACCCCCATGGAAGAACTAAAAACATTCCCAGTCAGTCCAGAAGACCCCAATCAAGTCTTGCGCATAGGGAAGTCATTATCGCCTGAAGCAAAAATGGAGATGATACGATTCCTGAAAGAAAATGTGGATGTCTTCGCATGGAAGCATGAAGATATGGTGGGAATAGATCCTAGGATCAGTTGTCATCACCTTAACATCAACCCCTCCTATGCCCCCCATAGATAGAAGAGGCGTGCCCTGAACCCGGAACGGTATGAGGCCCTGAAAGACGAAGTAAGTAAACTTAGCTGCAGTGGTTTCATCAGAGAGGCCATATATCCGAGGTGGATATCCAACCCGGTTCTGGTGAAAAAGTCCAGCAGGAAGTGGAGGGTCTGTGTGGACTTCACAAACCTGAATAAGGCGTGTCCCAAGGACAGCTTCCCACTGCCAAGAATTGATCAACTGGTAGACTCCACTGCTGGGCATGAACTACTGAGTTTCATGGATGCGTACTCAGGATACAACCAGATACCCATGTTCCGACCTGATGAGGAAGCTACATCATTCATTACGGACAGGGGGCTGTATTGCTACAAAGTTATACCCTTCGGATTGAAAATGCCGGGGCCACATACCAGAGGTTAGTCAACATGATGTTTGCCGATCTCATTGGCAAACTATGGAGGTCTACGTGGACGACATGTTGGTCAAAAGCCTCCATGCGGCCGAACACGTGAGTCACATTGACCAAACCTTCCAGATACTCAGAAAGTATAACATGAAGCTGAACCCAATCAAGTGCACTTTCGGAGTGGCATCAGGCCAGTTCTTGGGATACATTGTAAATCAGAGAGAAATTGAGGCAAATCCAGCAAAGGTAGCGGCCTTACTAGAAATGAGGTCACCTCAGAAATCGAAGGAGGTCCAAAGTCTCAATAGCCGGATAGCCGCACTCAGCCGCTTCATCTCCAGAGCCACCGATAAAAGCTTGCCTTTCTTCAATGTATTGAAGCAAGGAAAGAGATTCCAATGGACTTCGGAGTGCCAAGAAGCCTTCAAGTCTTTGAAGAAACACCTCGGGGAAGTACCCCTCCTGTCGAAACCCCAGCCGGATGAATCTCTGTTGCTGTATCTAGCAGTTTCAGACGTGGCAGTCAGCGCAGTCCTAACCAGGGAAGAAAATGAGCGTCAATTGCCGGTGTATTACATCAGCAAAGCACTTCTCCCAGCTGAAACACGCGACTCCGACATGGAAAAACTGGCACTCGCACTTATCATAGCCTCAAGAAAGCTGAGGCCATACTTTCAAGCCCACTCAATACAAGTCCTCACCAATTTCCCTTTAAGGCAAGTGATGCAGAAAACTGACGCGTCGGGACGCCTGCTGAAATGGGCTATTGAGCTCAGCGAGTTCGATCTCACGTTCCGACCTAGACGCGCTATCAAGGGCCAGGCCCTTGCCAATTTTATGGTCGAGTTTACCAAAGCCCTAGAAATGGAGGCCATAATGGAACCGACCGAGCCCCTCACATGGAAGTTGTTTGTAGATGGGTCTTCAGGAGAGGCTGGCGCGGGGGCAGGAATCGTGTTGGAGAGCCCGGAAGGCCATTTGCTAAATTGTGCTGTAAGATTTGGCTTCAGAGCCTCGAACAACGCGGCCGAATATGAGGCCCTTCTGGCAGGTCTAAGGCTCGCTAAGGAAATGCAGGTCAGGAAGCTCCTAGCAAGCAGTGATTCTCAGCTCGTAGTAAATCAGGTAAATGGGGATTTCGCAGCCAAAGATGGTAACATGCTTGCATACTTGAAGCTGGTTCTGGACATAATTCCCCATTTCGAAATGTTCGAACTGACTCAAGTCCCCCGTCTAGAAAATGCCCATGCAGATGCCCTCTCAAAGTTAGCGAGCAGCATGGACTCAGAGCTTCTAAGCATCGTCCCCATTGAGCACTTATCGAAGCCCTCCACCTTCGAAGGCGAAGAGTTACTGTGGATAGAAGGCACCCCATTGTGGATGCATTCCATAATCGCGTATCTAAAGGAGCAAACACTGCCTGCTTCCAGAGGCGAGGCAAGAAAATTAAGAAGAAGGGCTGCACACTTCGTCCTTCAAGAAGACACCCTTTACAAGAGAGGCTTCGCTTCGCCCCTTCTTCGATGTGTGGGCGGCGAAGAGGCCACATACATCTCAGAGAAATACATGAAGGGATCTGCGAAAATCACTCCGGAGGGACGGCTCTGGCGCACAAGGTTCTCCGTCAAGGCTACTTCTGGCCAACCCTGAAAAGGGATGCTTGCCAATTTGTCCAGAAATATGACAAGTGCCAGCGCTTCTCTAACGTGCAAAGACAGCCTGCTCAGAGCCTCTCTGTAGTGACCAGCCCTTGGCCATTCGCCAAGTGGGGCATCGACTTCATTGGTCCACTCCCAAAAGGGAGGGGAAGCACAACTTTCGCCATTGTCGCCATCGACTACTTCACTATGTGGGTCGAGGCAGAACCCCTTGCCCGAATCACCGAGGCCAATACTATGAAGTTCGTTTGGAAAAACGTCATTTGTAGATTCGGTATCCCCCACTCCATTGTCTCTGATAATGGGCGGCAGTTCGACAACAGGAAGATACGAGACTTATGCGACGAACTGGGCATAAAGAAGGACTTCTCGACTCCGCATCACCCCCAGGCAAATGGACAGGTTGAAGCAGTGAACAAAACTATCAAGCACACCCTGAAAGGAAACTGGATGACTCGAAAGGCGCCTGGGTTGACGAACTCCCCCACGTCCTCTGGGCCATCAGAACGACTTGCCGGACTGCAACCGGCGAAACCCCATTTTCCATGACCTACGGAACCGAAGCAATGAGTCCGGTCGAAGTTGGGGTCCCATCACATCGACGGATACATTTCAATGAGATCAGCAACGACGAGGCACGCATAAGTGAACTGCACCTCCTTGAGGAAAAGAGAGACACTTCCCAAATGACCTTGGCAAAATATCATCGCAAGATGACCCGCTTTTACAACTCCAAGGTCAGAAACAGAACTCTCCGCTTGGGCGACCTCGTCCTCAAAAGAGTTTTTCAATCTTCAAAACCAACCGGGTCAGGAGTTTTTGGCCCGAACTGGGAAGGCCCTTACCGCATTCGAGGGGAATCTCGACCTGGTACCTTCGAGGTCGAAGATATGTCAGGAAGGATGCTACCTCACAAGTGGAACATCGAGCACTTGAGAAAATACTACCAGTGATAAGACTATTCCGATCTGATCCTAAGTTGTCATAGCGAATCGGTTGTTCCGATCTGATCTCGGTTGTAAAGTTTCTTAAGTGATGGAACCGCCTTTGTAAAGGGTGGTGTAATTTATCTTAGTAATGAATTTCCAGTTCCAAACCAGATCAGCTAGGGAATAGTTTCCTCAGTTCTTTGGAATGTTCATTTGAGCGATCCGATCGTCAATTATTAGCTGATTACCAAGCGGTTCCTCGTGTTTCCCCAATTGGTCTGACCTCAGATTATTAAGAAGTTGAAATTAAGAATCACTTCCTACTCACTTAAGTGTTTGGACTTATGTTTGCTTAAGCGGACCGGTTCACAATTGTTAACCGATCGTTGTCGCGGGGCAATTAGTCTAATGTTTGTCATTCATACAAGTATAAAACAAAAGGAATACAAAGAAGCAGGAGCTAAAAGACTTGGCAGAAATTTGACAAAATTTTTCATTCCATGTCACAAAATTAAAGTACATTGGGGGCCGAAGCCACTACAAGATAAAAAGGAAACCCTAATCCGTGGGAGGAATTTCAGTATTGGCCGCCTCCTGGGCCTCTGGAGCCTCCTCAGTAACCTTATCAGGCCGACCTCCAGTTGGTCCCCCAAACTCTACCTCCAGTTGAGAGATGTCCAGGGTAGGATACACCTCCTTCAGTCGACCTAGTAGGCTTTGGGCACTCCACGAGGCCCAGAAGTTGGCAAAGTCGTCGTAAAGGGGATGGTCTTCGAAGTGATCAATAAAATTCTGGACCGCCACCTCCCCCGCAGACTTCAATTCCTCCTTCAAAGAGGCGATCTCCACTGACTGGGCCTCGGTCTGCTGCTCCAGCTCTGCCTTTTCTCTATTAGAGGCCTCCAGAGCATCGGTGGCGAGCTTGTGGTGCTCGTTAGCGTGGTCAAGTCGCCGAGTCACCGCAGCCACTTGGCACTCCACTTCGTAGAGCTCTTTCTTCAGCCGCTCCACCTCTGCCTGCGCAGCAGCAAGCTGGACCTCAGCAGCTCTCTTCCCCTCCTCTGCCTTGGTGGCTTTGGCCTGGGTAGCTCGCATAGCATCCCCATAATGCATCGCCTCCTCGAGGCGCTTGGCGAGGTCCTCCCTCTTGGAGTTTAGATCCTTTACCAAGCCCTCGAGTTGGATGCTTGTGCTTAGTGTCCGGACCACGCAGGCGCTGTTCGCCGCCACCAAGTCTTCGGCCGTGCAGGAGGCGGTGTGGTGCCTCCACTCTTCAGTCCAATATTTGCTGTGGACCACCGCCACCCCAGCTGTCTCTGGAGGAAGAGCCTCCAACACCTCCCTTACGGGCTCCTCTTGATTGGTGCCCAGGAAATCAACCTCTTTAGTGGAGCGGGCCCTTTTTTCTCCTCTGCTGCCCCGAAACTTGTTCAATAGGTACGACCGCAAGGGGTGCTGTTTCTGGGGCAGCGACAGGCTCTGCTGAAGTGGGGCTTCTCTCCGAGAGGGCCACCCCGTGGGAATAGTTGTCTGCGTCAAAACTGGGGGTGGCCTCGCCACAGTTGGGCGTCTGGGAGGGGCACACTCTTCTTGCCCTTCCTTCGGAGGTCACCCTCCGGGTCCTCCTGAACCTCCTCTTCCGTCGGAGGCTGGAGCCTCTTACTGGCCTCCACCAGCTCCTCCATTTGCTTCTTATATGAAGAGGAGGAGGCCTTCAGCGCCCGTGCCTCAGCCATCATTTTCTGGATGGTTTTGAAGTCAGGGCGTACTGGCAGCTTCTTGCTGAAGTTATCTGCAAAGAAACAAATAAGGAATTAGTACATGTCTAGGGAGTTCGGAATAAAAAAGTATAGGCTTCGGTCCTATTACCTTGAGACGCCATTAAGTCGTGAGTGATGAAATAGATGTTCTTCCGGATCAGCCTGTGGTAGGACCTCTTCTTCTGAGGCAGCTGATAAATGACACAGATAGTGTCGAAGTCCTCTGTTGATAGCTCGTACCGAGGAAGAGAACCTACAAAAGAAACATAACTGTTAGACACAAGTCGAACTGAAGAGAAAATAAAAGAAACAACTACTATACTCACTAATAGTTGATAACTTCGTTGGAACTGTAAGAGGCGCCAGGGGGTCGCCCTCCATTGTGTCCCATCGCCCCACTGTCCAGCACCATGAGCTCTTCCATTCTTTGATCGGGACTGTAAGAGGCGCCAGGGGGTCCCCCTCCATTGTGTCCCATCGCCCCGCTGCCCAGCACCATGAGCTCTTCCATTCCTTGATGGAGCTCGGCAGATCGATCACGAATGGAGTGTGGGAGCCCCATGACGTCAGGTAGTACCATCCCCGGGTCTTATCCCCCCCGACAGTAACCTTGGGTATATAGAGGGTCTAGAAAACGGAAAGGGGCATCTCCACCCCTAATGACGCCTCTTTCCACAACATCCAGGAGCCCACCATCTGGCTCCAGGAGTTTGGATTGAGCTGCGTCGGGGTTAGCCCATAAGACCTAAGCACCAACCTAAAGAATGGGTGGATAGGCAGCCTAAGTCCGGCCCTAAGGATCACCTCACTAATGGCCACACAGCCCGACCTTGGGTAACAGGCTCTCTCTTCCGGCCCGGGGAGGATCAAGTCTACACTGTCTGGGATCCTATATTCTGTCCTAAGTCTACCTAGGTCGGCCTCCCTTAATTTTGATGGGTAGTCCGACGCCCCCCAATGCACAGAAGTATCTGGGGGGCTATCTGGTCGTTTCCATATGTTCTCCCCCCCATTATTGCCCCAGCTATTTCTGAGGAGGTCGCCACAGTGGGCTCGTCCACCCTCACTATCTCTAAGCCCCTCCCCAAACCAGAACTCCCTCCCGAGGCCATTCGTTAAGAAATTTTTTAAAGTCCAAATGGGTGCTGAAACTTACGGGTTTGGAAGTTTTTCCTAGTTCTTTCTCGCCGAAGTTGCTTGCAAAACGCCGGAAATCGCCGAAAATTTGAGAGCAAATTATGATTTTAATCTTGCGAAGGTAGAAAGTCTGAGAAAACCCCAGAGTCCTCCTTTTATAGGAAAAACAAGTCCAATCTCCACCGTTAAATTCAAATGCGATCAATCTAAGCCGTTCCTCGCATCCTCAATCCGGGCCGTTGAAATGAAACGCCAGATTTGATCTACGCCCAAGATGTCGCTGTGACCTTCACGCTAAATTGAAACGCGTCACCTCGGTTACAACCAGCCATCAATAATAATTACTAGCCGCAGCAGCCTTTTAGGAGAATGGGCATGGCACCCAACTGTCACCTTGGAAACACGCAACAGTTGTCAAATCATTAGACGTTTGGGTCGCCTCAGATGAGCTCCTCCTCCAACTTTACAAAGCTTGGACGCACCTGACGCGAGCGCCCCATTGGGTCATCGCCTCGGACGCTGCGTTTTCCTCCCATGCTTTACAAAGTTTTAGCCATCTCCCCACGCGTCGACCTTTTCCTGTCAACGCATCGGTGCGAGATGAGTTCCTCCTCCAACTTTACAAAGCTTGGACGCACCTGACGCGAACGCCCCATTGGCTCATCGCCTCAGACGCTGCGTTTTCCTCCCATGCTTTACAAAGTTTCAGCCATCTCCCCACGCGTCGACCTTTTCCTGTCAATGCATCGGTGCGAGAAGAGTTCCTCCTCCAACTTTACAAAGTTTGGACGCACCTGACGCGAACGCCCCATTGGGTCATTGCCTTGGACGCTGCGTTTTCCTCCCATACTTTACAAAGTTTCAGCTATCCCCACGCGTCGACCTGTTCTGTCAGTGCATCGACGGCAGCTGAGCCCTTTCTCCAACTTCACAAATCTGGGATGCGCCTGACGCGAATGCCCCGCATCTGCCTATTATCCTAACCTCGGCTGCTGCGACGAATCGACCCCATGACTCGCGGCCCGGACAGGAAAGCAAATCCGCGCATAATATAAATATTCATCCCCGAATTTGGGGGACCATTGTTACGCCTCGATACCGAAGTGCCATCTCACCACCTACTCCGACCTGAAAACGACCCTCCCGAAACTTCTCTGAAGTGATATATCGATTCCTACTACTGATCTGCCGAAGCATCTCACCTCCGAGGTCGAGATCAAGTGGACCCCGGTTAGAAGATCCGCCGCCAATTTAAGATTTGTCCTGCACCTAAGGTTTAAATTGATTTGACGTCCCCATGAGGCTACTTGACGTGACTTATCAACTTTATGTCAATTCAACTCGGGGGAAACAAACTGTCCGCCCACTCTACAAGCGCGGCTGATTGACGCCTATGAGCAGACACTTCATACCGTCAGATGTATACGCGCGTTCCACATCCCGCGGTTCATACCACCTATAAATACCCAAGGTCTGGCAAGAGGCAAAGGTAATGAAACTCTCAATACATAGCATTCCATAACAAGTTTATATATCATCCTCCCCCCTTTATTGATTGATCTGTGTAGCCCCTAGGCACTGTTCCGACCACCCAAACCTGACTTGACCGTCGGAGTGTATAAGGCCGCCACCACCCCCTTCGGTTCCGGCCGTGTGCGCCTGACCGTTTGTTCATTACGCAGGGAGGAATACGTGGAGTAGCTACAAGTTGGCCACGTGGAGGAGCCATTTTTGGAGCTCAACAGTAGTCTTACCCATTCTGCCCATTCCAACAATGGAGACAGTTTCAAGGTGTGACGATTCACTAACCAGCCGAGTCTTAATCTCCATCAAGTCATTATCAAGGCTAACAATGAGTCTGTTTCCACCGAGAGCAATTTTTGATGGCATCCAAGTCATTGGCTGTTGATCTTCTAAGACAACGTTGTCCTCAATCTTCATCACCTGGTTCATTAATGAATCAATTTCTTTGTATACTTTCTCCAAGTCAGAGCAGAAAAATATAAGGATCTTGTCCCTGTTAACTGTGGATTCTGGAAGAAGTCGATCGACAACGTAGGATTCAACAATATCTTCTGCTAGATGTGCTGCGTCCCTGATTTGATTCTCCAAACATTCTATTGCTTCACAGCTGTTTCGTGAACAATTTTCAAGAAAATCTTTTAAGGAAATGACCTTTTCGAGAAGAGATGCAATTTGTTTTTTGACAGGACGATTCAGAAATGTATATTTCTGTTGAATGATTTGCTCTAGAACGTGCATTAGAGAAAGAAGAGCAGCATAAGCCATATCTGATGATTTGTTCTCAACTGTAACACCGAGAAAAGATAGCAGCAAAATATAAGCAAATAGCAATTTTTCTAAGTCAATGTGGCATGATCATTACATAGTTGTCCAGATTATCGCAAAATAAGATTCCAAGTGGTCTTGGTGGATAATTAGATGGTGAAAAGTAGCACGAGATTATGACTCATTTAATGGACTCGGGCCCATTTGGTTTCACATATTATGTGGGATGGAGCCCACCACAATAGTTGTGTGGTCTTTCCCACTTCTGGTGGCCTTGTACAAGTGAGAAATAAATACAAAATTTCACCATTTCACAGACATTTCGAAATTTTGAATATTGCATGATTATTTTTATTGTAATAATGCGAAAAATGCACAAGACACCAGATAAATGATTTGCAATGCATATTTGGAAAGTGATTATAATTAAATTACTTTTAGTCAAACATATTTTTATTCACAAATTTCGCAAGACCCATAAGTATTACTCGTTTATTTTTTCACACATTTCAAATTCATAGGCTCTATATTTTATAGTCACTTAAATTTAATTTAATGACTTCCCAAACAAACATGCACAAATGAGTCTAGAGGAGTAATGTCAATCTAGGTGACAACAAAGTCCATTTTTATCTAATTGATGTTGATCACGATTAGTGATGCTATCCGTAGAGTAACAATTCTTGTAGAAATTCGAGTATTTCAATATTACAATTTAGTTTGATATGTTCAATGGAACCAAATACAAATGTGCTACTGAGCATTTTCTTGATCTACTTGCAATCAACTGAATCTGATAATACAAACTACCTGTTTGTGAGTTGGTGATTAGTCTAAGTGCTGGATTTTTTAAACCCAAATTAGATTTGATTTTTTGTGGAATATATTCTATCCTTTATTGCATTTGATTTTATTGAAAAATATTATTTTCTTTATTCTATGCATTTTTATTGAAAAAAATATTATTTCCTTTATTTTACACAATTTTTTATCTTAGTTCCATGTTTGTGGTATTTTTAGGGTTTGACATGCACCCCTATAAACACTAGGCCTTTTTGACTAGTTTTGTATTACTAAAATATAGAATAATTGTGTAGGCACAGTTATTGTATTTATTTTCTTCATATTCATCAATTGAATAAAATAATTCATTCCTCGGTCGATTAATTACTTTCCTTTTATCTTGTTGTTTGTTTGCAATCATATACTTAACATCATGTCATATATTACCTCAATCCGTTTTATTTCCCAACAAGTTGTATAAGAGCTATTGTTTGTGATTTATTCGAAACTTTTGTTATTGATGGCAGTTATGAAGTATGAAATTTCATTTTTGAATTGTAATACAATATTTTCGTTGTGGTAAGTGAAAATGCAACCTGTATTTGCGTAGATGGATTTAGATGATGCGTTGTTAAGATTTGACAAAATGCCTGTAACTTGAACAATGGAGGAGAAAGAAGGAAGGATTGGAAGGCACTTTCATAGATCCACCTTCATCTCAATAATAATATACTTCAGGATGTTTTGAAGGAGAAAACTGCAAATGCATTGTGTATGAAGATTTGTAAACTTTAGAGGTAAAGTATGATAATGAAGATTTAGCCTTAATCTGTTTCAGTTCGCTGCACGTTGTGTTTAGAGACACGATCTTCCATACTCATGATACTCTCATAATTGAAGATGTGTATGATGCCTTACTTTAAAAAAGAAGATGAAGCATCTGAGGCAAGAGATGGAAAAGGCTTGTTGTTTAAAGTAATCGGAAAAGGGGTAAGTCGAGGTCAAATTTTAGTAATTAGGTTTGTTATTATTGCAAAA